ATATATATAATATATCTTACAATAGATCTTCTACAGTAGTAAATATTTTGCAATATAATTATTTACCATCCACCATTCGATTTTTTACAGCCAGAAGCATAGATAAATAGCCAGCGGATGTCTTCAGTATCTAGGGAAAAAATACACATTTTTATTCAAATGTTGATGCACTATTTATTACCAAACAGAAACGATCAGTTTTGTTGTGCCAAAGAATAAAAGTTTTACTTTTTTCTACTCACGGAACAATAAAGTTCTAAAGAAAAAATTGCAAATTTTCCTGCTGTGAGTTGAAATGGATGTTGACTTCGAACAATAATAAGCAATAATAGCCGCGTTTGTGCAGGTTGCAATGACATCCAATCGAAATTGTACGCCGCATCACCTACTTCCATGCTCTGAAAATATTTTCAGCTTTTGTTAGGGAATATTTTGGTTTTCAAATGTTTGTGTATTTTATGTAGACAGTTCGGATTGTCTTGTTTGAGAATGCATCAGTGGGAATAGTTACTTAAGTTAATTATGGATGTCAAATTTTTAAAACATGTTTTCTCATTAATCTTACAAATACAATGTTTCAATGTTTATTATTATTCATCATATCCAAATGGCTCAACGAATTTAAATACAATTTGTTCCTCCAACAATGTAAATTGGACATGTAATAATAGTTATCATACCACCTTGTCATACTACTGCCGTCCAATGGAAAAAAGGTATAAGTGACATGAGAGACAAACTGAGAAAATCAAGGAAAACTAAGTGTCTTAAAAAATCAATGATAATTTGAGTATTGGACCGCGGAAAAACTATTTATTATGTAAATATGATATAATTATTCTATTTTCCGCAAAAGAAAAACGATTTTTCGATGGGAACTATGAAAATCTGTACTTACCCTTCTAACTCGGCGCAATTCCCTGGTAAAAAAAGGGTAAGTTCAAAAATACAGCTTATTCCATGGGGCTTACCTTTTTTCTACTTTGGAATCAAAGGCGGTGCCCATTGACTTTACAACGCAAAAAAAGGTAAGCGCACGTACGATGTCTGCCTGTCACGATTTCCACATTTTGAGTTACTTACCCTTTTTTTTTATCGCTGACAAAAATTATTAGCAATTTTTTCAATTTTCGTTAAATTATTACTAAATCACGTTATAAGATATTTAATTTGTAGATATGCTATTAGACGCAGAATTTTCTGACAAATCGATTTGTATAAATAACTCATTTTCAACAAAAATGTCATTTATACCTTTTTTCCGTTGGATGGCAGACTATACATAATATATAACAGTTATACAGTGCATTACCCAAGCGGAAATTTTTTTTGTGATTAAGTAATGAAAAAATTATAACTAATAGTGATATTTTATAAAGTCCAGATTTCAGATTATAATAAAGTTTAATAAGTATTA